GCCTCTTGGGGCCATCTTGGGGCCTCTGGCGACCTCCTCAGAAGCGCAAATGAGAGCAGCCCCCTGAGAAGGACAAAATGAGCCCAAAACCTTCGTAAAATCAAGGATTTTGCTATGAAGGAAGATGAGCGCGGCCCCCTCAGCACGCCAACATGGGGCCAAAACCGTAGTAAAATCAACGATTTTGGCTTCAAAGAAGAGCAGAGGGGCCAAACTGTATCCCCCCGACGGGGCCAGAATCCTCGTGATGGTCGTCGCTTTTTGGCCCTCCCAGGAGTCAGAAAAGACCCCCCTGACTACGCCCCGGACTCCCTGTCCAGGTCCAGGGGGAGGGGGTAGGGGGAGGGGTAAACCCCTCCCCGAAGGGGAAGATGGGGGGTTGAGAACAGAGAGAGCTCGCTAAACCACTCACGCCCAAAGGGCTGGTGGGATTGAGGAGGAGGAGGAGGACGAGGGTGGGGAGGATGGGGATGAGGAGGATGAGGATGAGGAGGATGAGGAGGAGGAGGAGGAGGAGGAGGAGGAGGAGGACGAGGAGGACGAGGAGGAGGAGGAGGAGGACTCTTTGCAATTGTCGGGGCACGCTCGGGGCCTCCTGGGCGCCTCCTGGGGGGCACCTTGGAGGCCCCTCGGAGGCCTTCTTGGGCCTCTTTGGGGCCGTTGGGGGCTCCTTCGGATGCATCCTTGGCAGTCTGAGGGCGTTCTTGGCCCGTCTGACGCCGTCGGGAGCCGTCTTGGGGGCCTCTCTGGGCCGACTTGGGGCCTTCTTGGGGCGCTTCAGGGCCGTCTTGGAGGCCATCTTGGGCGTCCTGGAGGTCTCCTGAGCCGTCTTGGGGCTCTCTTGGGGTCGTCTTGGGAGCCTCTTGGGCAGTCAGGGGGCGAACACTTCAGAAATCTGGCACACCGTGCACCCCTTTGATGAATCACCAGGGGGCGGCGGATCGAAGACGCCTACGGCGAATCACCGCCGCCCCCTGCCTGTTTGGAAGCGCCTATGTGGCCGAACGTTGAGGCCAGACCTGCCAAGCTATCGCACCATGTGTTCCCCGAATCGGTTTGGAAAGCCTTCGGGGAACACGTGGGCATCTTGAAGGTCATCTTGGCCTTCTGGAGGCCATTTTGACCCTTTCGGGCCTTCTTGGAGGACGTCTTGGAGGGCTCTTGGGCCGTCTTGGAGGCCATCTTGCGCGTCTTGGAGACCTCTTGGGCAGTCTTGGGGGCCTCCTAGGGCCGTGTCTTGGGCCTCGTGGGCGATCTTTGGGGGCACTTGGGCCGTCTCGGGCCGTCGGAAGGCAGAACAAAAACAAATGCCACAATCCTTCAAACACCCATGGGAAATCAAGGATGTTCGCCTTTTTGGGGCCTCCTGGAGGCCCTCTTGGAGGCCTCTTGGGCCGTCTTGGGCCATCTTAGGGCCATGTTCGGCCGTCTTGGTGGGCTCCTGGTCCGTCTGACGCCGTCGGAAGCCGTTTGGGAGGCCTCTATGGGCCGACTTGGGGCCCTCTTGGAATGCTCCAGGGCCGTCTTGGAGGCCATCTTGGGCGTCTTAAAGGCCTCCTGTGCCGTCTCGGGGGCGGCCGTTCTGGGGCCACCTTGGAGGCCGTTTGGACGATCTTTTGGCGACCTGTGGGGGCTCTTGGGCCGTCTCGGGCCGTCGGAAGGCCGGAAAGAAGCAAATGTCAACATTCGTCAAAAACCTTAGGACAATCGATGATTTTGGCTTCTTCGGGCCTTCCTGGAGGCCCTCTTGGGGGCC